AGAGGACTTTCTTTGCAATCTCATTAGCTTCCAATTTTTGCTGATCTTTGCCTATATGCTCTATTTACAGGATGAGGACTAAAAACCCATTCAGACGTTCCCATAATGTGAAGTATTTCATAAGTTAAGGCAGGCACCATCAAACACCTCTGATATAATTGTCTGACATCCTCATTGCTATTAGCTTTTAGGAATCACCTGGTGAATTCTGATCTGATCTTGTAGGCTTTTACTACTAATCAGGAAATACACAAATGCACACATTTTCTAGTTTTCTTGCTGCAATATACACATCATGAATTAGAGAAGCATCATTTAATACTTTGGAATTGACTTGTGGCAAACCTGCCCAAATATCCCATGACCACATTAGACTACACAAGTCATCATATCCAACACTGAAGCCTTGCCAGGGCCACCCTATGGCTATGTTACAACTGTCACATTCACACAAGCACACCCTTAGTGCAGGGGGGAAACTGCAACATTCTATAAAAGATTTTCATTTTTTTTATTTTATTCATTTACAGCATTTACACCCTACCCTTTAGTTTTAAAAAAATGTTTTCAGAGCAGGTTACAGAGTAAGTTCTAAGATGGTTCCTCCATTGGGTTCACAAACTAAAAAGAAATGACACATAAGGAAACAGGAAAGGGGAGGGAGGAGAGAGAATCTAGCTCAAGCACAATTCCTTAAAGTTATAGTCCTTACTGTTACATCTGGTGTTGGTGATCATTCCAGTTGTCTTTCCCTTGATAAAGAGCAATCCATCTCTGGAAGCATATATACCTCTCCTTCTAGATAAGATTTAGGAGGTGACAACTTCCAGGCATCTCCTGTCACACAGATCTTCCCTTATTCATGTCATTTTATGGAAAAGAATTCAACCTAATATGTTCTATTTTATTTGTTTCACTTTAAAAAAAAAAGTTGTAAAAAATGCATGAAAACAACCATAGCACAAAAGTAAATAATCATTCACAATAAGAAAGCCAAAGTTGAATTTGCCCACAGTCGTATATGCTTTGTGTGTGACATGATCTATCAATAAAGAAGTAAAAATGCTTTATGTGATCTTTGTAGGCCATTCTTTCCATTCATCTTCCAAAGAATGCAACAATAATTTGACAATCCAACACAATTTGATGATTTCTTTTTTAAAAAATAAAATAAAATCCAACTGCACATGAAAATTCGAACTATTACTTACGCTTCTGCCACAAATTTATTCTGCCCACATTTTGTCAGTTCCCAATCTTTAATTTCTCACCTAGTTTCGAAACACCTCTATAAAGTAAGTCCCCATTTCATGAAAAGGGACCATGCTGAGCTATGAGTGAGTTGCCCAATGTCACCTAACTGAGTTCATAGTCACAGTGGGTATGTATATGAAGGTGCTAAGATCTAATGTCCCATTTCTCAGGCATAGCACATGTGTATCCCCCCCCCACCAGTAAAAGTATATTCCCTAAACCTCAGGTGCCTACTGTTCATTATCCATTTCTTGTCCATTATAAACTGACACCTCCATACCTGGGGAAAATAGCACAAGTATCTGGGTTGATCAGATGCGATCTCTGAGTTCTGTACATCTCCCAGTGAAAAGTTCCACTAGACCCAATCCCATCCACATTGTACATAATCCTCCTTTCATTTACCATTTGTTGTCCTCAAATACTTTATTCCTGGTGAATCCCTTTTTCAGGGCATCTTTCACTTCCTTGTTCCTGAGTGTATATATGAAAGGGTTCAGCAGTGGAGTGACTAGGGTGTTTAGGAGGGATACCAGCTTGTTCCAACCCAAAGAGGCATGTCCGCTTGGCCTGACATAGATAAAGATGATTGCCCCATACAGCATGATGACAACCATCAAGTGAGCAATGCAAGTGGAGAAAGCTTTCTGCCTCCCAGAGGCTGACGGGATTCTCATCACGGTGGAGATGATGAAGATGTACGAAACCACCGTCATCAGGGAATTGCAGAAGACCACAATGGTGGCCACGATGAAGACGATCCACTCTATGGGGCGAGTGTCGGTGCAAGCCAGCTTCAGCAATGGTCCAACGTCGCAGTAGAAGTGATTGATGATATTGGGGCCACAGAAAGGCAGGCGGAACACTAGAATCGTCTGCACCAAGACTGTCATCAAGCCACCAAGCCAAGATCCACAAGCCAGCTGAACACAAACCTTACTGCTCATGATGGCATGGTAGTGGAGAGGGTGGCAAATAGCCATGTAGCGATCGTACGCCATGGCGGTGAGAAGGAAGAATTCGGTGGCCCCCAGGAAAAAATGGGAGAATGCTTGAGCTTTGCAACCAGCTAGGCTGATTGATTTCTTGATTGAAAGTAAGTTGGCAAGCAGTTTGGGTATGGTCGCGGTCACATAGATGATTCCTAAGAATGAAAGGTTTCCAAGGAAGAAGTACATTGGCTTATGTAGAGTGGTGTCATGGACTACAGTGGCCACGATGACAATATTCCCAGTGACAGTCAAGGTGTAGATCACCAAGACACCCACAAACACTAGAATTCGCACCTTTTGGATGCTGGGGAAGCCCAGTAAAATAAATTCGACCACAACTGTTTGGTTTTCCATCATCACCTGCATTAAAACATAGGAAAGAGTTACAAAACTGGGTCAGAGAGATGCTCTATCTAGAAGGTGATTCTATTAGGGATGGGTGAATCTGTCAATTTCTGGTTCTCTCTGTTTCTCATTTATCAAGCCTCTTCACATTTCAAAACCAATTTTGCATGCTTTTTAAAGATATAAATTTTCATGCTCACTTCTCCCCACTATATGCATTATTGTATGTTTTACTTGACTGGAGAATGGCATTGCTAAATTGGGAGAAACACAGATTATGAAGGACGGCTGTGTTTTGGGTCATGTACTGTTTCAGAAAGTGTAGTAAGCTTGCATTTTAACATGAACTGAATTGGGTTGCTTCCCTATCCCTAGATTCTACCTATTGGCACATCCCCAATTCACAGATCTTAAAGGCCAATAGAAATGCTCATAAGCAGATGCAATGGCAATATCCACCCATGCTATTAGTCTCCAAAGAAAAATTGTCCTCTGTAACTATCCATATATACAGCACAAAGAAATAAGTACATTCTCCGGAAAAGAGTCAGGGTTCCTGCATTGCTGAGTGCTGGACTAATAACCCTTCTGGTTCCTTCCAACACTACAATTTTATGAATCTATGATCATAAGCCCTGTCTCGCTATACCACTTTAGCCTTCCTTCTAAGGAGAACAAAACTCATAATTCTCCATATATTCCTTACATCTCCACACATGTAGATAATTGAACTATATGATTTCACTTTAAAGTGAACTTTAGGGATTTTGAAATTATAATTTAAAATGTCAGATTTGGACTCAAGAAAAATAAAAGGTCAAATCCAGATTGCAAACTGCATTTCAGATTTAGTTTTGCAATTTGGGCAGAAAACCTTATATGGCTCTGTAAAAAAAATATTCATTTAATGATCTGGATTAAGTGTATACTTCATTATTATTATTTTTAAAGAAGGTGTGAGATTGTGGCTCTGAAGACACGGTGCTGTTTAGAACCTCAAAACATTCACACATAAAAGTTACAGCAATCGATGGAGATGAAGTAAAGCATATACTTAATTCCTTTTGTTTTCTGCTGTAAGATTTTCGAACATTGCCACTCAGTTCCTTTAGTGGCATGACTGGACTATCAATTGGGTAAAGCTTTTGCAGTTGACCAATAACTTTGCACAATCAATGAAAATATAGGTCACTGGCTCACCACTCACCCCATTGTGCTTCAACCACCTTGTTGGTTCAATAACAAATAGCACTTGATCGATGTAGAAAAATAAACCACACATCACCATATGATTGAAAAAGAAAGAGGGTACTCACAATTTTACACATCCCGACTGGTTCTCAGAGTAAACATTTTCTGTTTGTTTCCTGAAAAACATGGTCACATATTCTAGTATTTGTACAGTATCCACTATTTTCAAAGCACTTATAATAATGAGAAAAACAATATACGCAATATAGAGCATGATACTTAATATCAGCTAAAGATGCTATCGAACTATAACACTGTCTGCCTCTTGCTCTGATGCCTGTATATGCGCAGATGAGCACAGAAATGAGGAGAAAAAGAACAAATACTTCAGGCATATATCTTTTTGCATTCTGCTTCCTGTAGAGCACAATGAAGTTCTTTGGTGCAGGTTTACAAGAGCAGTTTAAATATATGGGAAAGAGTACTTCAGTCCTAACCATTCCCACTAGGGAAATTAAACCACCTGAGAGAGGCAGAGAAGCACTTTGGGGAACTTAAGATGTGTTTTCCTTGGCAAGTGCCTGGACAAAGACGGAGGGTTTGAATGCTGTGGAGCTGCTGCTGCTGGACTGCTAGCATCATATACTCAGAGAATGCATAACACATTATTAAAATATGGAACTTGCTTGCACAGGAAACAGTGGATGGCTTTACAAGGGGCTTAGGCATGTTATTGGAGGAAAAGGCTATCAGCAGCTACTAGCCATGGTGGCTGAGTTCTGCCTCCACTGCCAGAGGCAGTAGGCCTGTGAATATCAGTTCTTGGGAAATGCAGGTGGGCAGAGTACTGTCTAGCTTGCAGGCTTCCCATAGGCATCTGTGAGAACAGAGTACTGGACTAGATGGGAGATGAGTAAAAGCTGGAAGACCACAAAATGCATCCCTAGATCAGAGCAGCAGAAAAGGGGGTGCATCCCGCTTCCAAAAACTGCTAACCAGATGCTTCCTGCCTTGATCATACATGCAAGGCAGGAACACAACGGCTCTCCCTTGTGCTTTGCCCCCCCCAACATTAAAAACCCCCTTTCTTGTTGCCCAGAGAATGATAATGCCTATGAACACGGAAGATCTGTTTAAGTCTCATGGCAAATCACCATTGTTGGAATCATCCTTTAGGAATGTCTTCAATGCTTTCCTTAAAAACCAAGCAAAATACAAGTGGTTGTAACCAGTCAGTTGGTTAGAGCGTGGTGTTGATAACACCAAGGTTGCAGGTTCAATCCCTGTATGGGACAGCTGCATATTCCCGCATTGCAGGGGTTTGGGCCAGATGATCCTCAGGGTCTCTTCCAATTCTACAATTCTATGATTCTAATAGTTTAGTGCCTTCAGGTGCCTTGTCAGAGTAGAAGTATAGAAATGTGAATAAATGGCCATCTTTTAGGCAAAGAGTAGTCAACACATTGTACCTATGTATACAGTTAGTTCCTGGGTGTGGAGGAACTACTTGAAGAGGGAACTTTCTGTAGAGATGAATGAGAGTAGAAAGGCAATGTGGGCCTTGAGACTGAAGAGTAAATAGGACACCCTGTCTACTGTATTTAAATAATTAGTTTGTGTTGAGTTTACCTGCAGTGCCTGTTTCCAAGAAAGGCTGGGCCTTCCAGTTCTCTCTAGATGTGGTAGATTACAGACATCATTATCTATCTGAAGAAGTGTGCATACACACAAAAGCTCATACCAAGAACAAACTTAGTTGGACATTTTTTTAAAATATATATATTTCTATCATTATCTATGACCATTGGCTTGTCTGAGACCTGACACGGGAATCTTGTTATAATAATATTATAAACTCAAACAAAAAAAGCAGCTAGTCCCTTGTCCCCCACTCCTGGCCAGCTTAGTCCTCCAAGACCTGGGGCAAATGTACCTGGCTGCCTCCACCTCTGCAAGCACCTGCTGGACCCAACTGGACTCTGCAAGGACCCAGCTCTTCAAAAGGAACATTAGCAGCGCTTAGGGCTTTAAAGGTCAGCACCAACATTTTGAATTGTGCTCGGAAATGTACTGGGAGCCAATATAGGTCTTTCAGGCCTGGTGTTATGTGGTCTCAGTGGCCACTCCCAGTCACCAGTCTAGCTGCTGCATTTTGGATTAGTTGTAAATTCCGAGTCACCTTCAAAGGTTACCACCATCCTCTGAGACCAAAAGATGCCTAGACCTTCTGAAAGTGTTGCTTACGATTGTGAATTTTTTATTTTTTGACACAGACAGAGGCAAGCAGTTTCCCAACTTTATATATTTTTAATCCTCTTTGGCAATAAATGACAATCAAATCAAGTCACTCCGTATCAGTTCAGTGGAAATTTTTTTTTAATATTCACTGCCTTCCTCAAAGCTTCTTTGACATCTTTGTTCCTCAGGGTGTAGATGAAAGGGTTGAGGAGCGGGGTTATAACTGTATTCAGCACAGATACCACTTTGTTTACCTCCAGAGAGGAGTTTGCTTTGGGCTTCACATACATGAACATCACTGTTCCATATTGTATGGACACCACCGTCAGGTGAGCGGCACAGGTTGAGAAAGCCTTCTGTCGCCCCGACGAAGAAGGGATGCGCAATATGGTGGAGATGATGAAGATGTAGGAGATGGCAGTGAGTAAGAAGGAGCTGAACAGGAGAAGGGCCGACCCCACTAACACTATTTGCTCGAGCAGGTGGGTATCAGAGCAAGCCAAGCTCAGCAGTGGGGTCACATCACAATAGAAATGGTTGATCAGGTTGGGGCCACAAAATGGGAGTTGGCAGATCAAGATGGTCTGCACTATGACAGTGAAGAAACCTCCCAGCCAAGACCCCAAGGCTAACTGCAGGCAAAGCTTGCTGTTCATGATGATGCTGTAATGCAGTGGGTTGCAGATGGCTATGTAGCGGTCAAAGGACATTGAGGCAAGCAGGCAGAATTCAGTAGCCCCAAGAAGGAAATGGAAAAAGGCTTGGGTGATGCAACAGTAGAAGCAGATGGCCCTCCTCTCTGCCAAGAAATTGGCCAGCATCTTGGGCGACAGCGTGGTGACATAAAAGATCTCCAGGAAAGAGAAGTTCCCTAGGAAGAAGTACATGGGGTTGTGGAGATGGTGATCATGGATGATGATGAAAACAATCAGGATGTTTCCTGTGACAGTGAGGATGTACATAAGCAGAACGGGAACAAATAGATACTTCTGCAGCTCTGCGGAACCTGGAAACCCTTGGAGAATAAACTCAGTGAGGACAGTTTGATTTGTTTGAGGCATTTCTTGAAGAAGACTCATCTGCCCGACTCCTTTCTATACCTGCTAAGAGCATGGGGGAAAAGATCAACAAGACAGCAAACCTTTGCAGTGTGCAGCTTGAAGGGACTGAATGCATAAAAACTGACTCCTTCTGGAATTAAAGATTGCCCAGGCCCAAAGTTTGATTCAAAGCTTTACCTGCATAACTTTCTTCAAAACAGAGCAAAAAACAACAACAGTAAATTATACATCTAAACAGTTCTGTGATGTTCAGGTTCATTATTTTAAAAATAACTTTAAACAGGACTGAGATCAAAACTCTATCTCTTCCCCACTGCAGCCTTCATTACAACCTGAGGTCATGTGCTTCTGGAGTGAGCTTCATTATCAATGTTACTTCCACACTCGCTGGGAACTCCCTTTCAAAACGGAGATTTGCAACCTGTTACCTTTGTTACCTGATCTAAGGTTAAACACTCACACGCTAGCTAGCAGAGAATAACAATAGTTAGTTATCAACTGATCTAGAAGATATTAGGAGAGCTTAATACAGCCCCTTGGAAAATCGTTAAAGCCTGCAGTAATGCACAAATGCATTCCTCCTTTTGGTGTCAATTATACGATTATACTTAACAAACTAGCTATATCGTCATCCTGCTTAGATTTCTAGTTTAATTTCAGAACAGGCTCAAGTACCCTATGTTAAATCAAAAGGCATGTTATACAAGGAGGAGGAGGAAGAGGACACCATACCAGCTGCTCCTAGTACAGATCCATGGAATTACATTCCATACCTTCTCACTAATCCATACAACAACCCTTTAAAGTGAGTATTGCAAGTAGGATGAAGGTTCCCTGTGACAACCCAGTGAATTCATTTTTGAGGCAGGATTTGAATGATGTATAAAGAGAAAGAGACATTTAGATTTTGATTTTGTTCAGTCTGGGGAAATTAAATGAATGTCAAAAGTTGTGCAAGGTCCTTCACTAGCAAATGTACAACCACAAGTTAACCTTCCTGGTTTCCACCAAGATAGACACATCAATGTCTGCTTGATTATTACAGCTCATATCAGAATAATAAGTTTGCTTAATATTTTTCTTGCCCTGGTGGAACAATTACAAGCAAGGGGAAATGGTATGGTCCCCACCCCCATCCAGATGAATAAACATACTTTAGGAGAAAGCAGAACTTAATTTGCTTAAATCTTCAATCTTCAATCAGAACAATCCAAATTCACACTTATCTAAATTTTGCAATGCAGTTATCCAATCAAACAATATTAATAAAAATGCATTTTATTGGGGAAGTGTAGAAAATGTGAAGATGTTAGTGGGGAAGAACATACAAAATCCTTTTTATTAGGGGAAATTACTTGCAAAAAAGGCGTACATTAGTGTATAAAAAAGGTATTTTTTAAGAAAAATTGCACTAAAATGCTGATGAATTTCCTGAGTTTTAAAAATTGTATTGTTGCATAATGCGGAGAACTAAATTTAAGATTCTAAAAAGTGAGAGGGAGAAATGAAATAAAATGAAACTGTAATTGATAGATCCTTCCATCTCCAGACACTACCCACAAACTTCCAAACTGATCTTCATAAACAGTAGTGTAAGAAATCTGCTTTAAAATGAAAAAAGATAAATATAAAATCACGCTCCCTAATTGCTCAGTTTTCTAAAAGTTCTTTTGCCCAGATGTGATTAAACCTGTAACTAAGTCAAATTATGTTCAAATTAAGCATATATTATTTCTCTTTGCCTTCCCTGCTGTCAGGGTTTATTTGCAGCACAACAAACTCTCCGCAGTGTCAGATCCTGGTAACATTCCAAGTAAACTACAGCATAGGCATAGTAGGTAAAATGTACTTACTGAACATGAAATAAATGATACGAAGAAATGGCCAAGATCAGCCAGGATAATTCTATTCATACAGCCTATAGACCTTCAACTGCAAGATGTTTGCCTTAGATCATAAACAAAAAACAAGACACACCAACATTTCTTTAATTGAGTCTAAAACTTTAAACTCAAGGCACTAAAGAAGATATATTCAAATTGTAAGTGACAGCAAGATAATCAGTGCAGATTTTATGAGGACATGATAAATAATACCAGTTATCAGTATTATGAGGAAGGTCATCTTGGAACTGAGTTATTTTATGTGTGTCTTATGTTTTCAATGTTTTTCTTCCCAAGCAATGAATTTTGTTTTGAAGCAGTAGCAAATAATAATATCCTCCAGGGACCTCATTAAGAGGAATTTCCTTCTTGTACACTTTTTTATTATTCCTCTAACTGGGATTGCTAAACTTATACACTTGCCAATGTAGTTTAGCAAACAGAATTGTTGATTTGGAAGAAGAAAACTCACAATTCAAAGAGGGGTGTGTGTGTGTGTGTGTGTGTGTGAGTGAGAGAGAGAGAGAGAGAGAGAGTCTAAAAATACATCTCCAAATGTTGATAGTGAATTAGATAGTGAAGATTTGATATCCTACGTCAGCAAACAATATTTGGTATTGACCAGCCTGGGATAGCATATAGGCTGAAATATGATACCTCACACGTGTCCATTCAGCTGCTTTGATTCCTGGAACTGGCAATGAGCATAAATCTAAACATAACCTTAACATACCCACTGGGATGAGAAAGACTTTGTCACTTGCCAGAAGCTCAGCTAGTTGCTGCTATATCATGAGTTCTCATATTCCATGACCACTAGTGGGTGGTAGTGCTCAAGAAACTTGGAGGAAGGCATGATCTGGCATTCTAAATTATTGCATTGGTTATGTGCAATAAGCATAAAGGGTTTATAAGCCTTTATAAGCATAAAGGGTTAGCCATATTTTTTAATTTTTGTATTCGTTTGTTCCAGAACAGATAGTCACCTCTTCCTCAAACTGCTTGCACAAATGCAATAGGGTAGATCAGGCACCCCCAAACTCGGCCCTCCAGATGTTTTGGGACTACAGTTCCCATCATCCCTGACCACTGGTCCTGTTAGCTAGGGATGATGTGAGT